GTGTTGACTGGCTCGTCCTCGTCCTTCACAGAGCGTCGACTGTTGAAGGTTCGTTCCGCTTCCTCTGACAGATAGTTTTCCTCCTTGTCTTCCTCCCTCTGGAGCAACAACACACGGGGGCGCTATATCAGCTTATAAACACTTACAGAAGCACAGCAATGTTGCCAGAAACAGCAACATACCTCCTTCTTCATCCTGTAGTATTCGTCGATGGCGTACTGATACTTGGCTGATGTTATCCCAAAAAGTGAGGCCATCCTTTCTCCGAGGTAATCGCATGCTGGGAAATAAGAAGAAGAGAGAAGAGAACAGTCAAAAACATGGGATAAGATGGAGATTTGATTGTCTAGAGATTTTAAAATATTTTTTTAAAGACATTAAAACAACAACAAATTCTCTCATTTTGTTTTTTAAATGTGAATACGTTTGTGTTTCTTTACTGCTGCATATCAAACGCTGAATTGATTTTCAATAAAAGCCCAAAATGGCCACAACTAATTAATTCATCCGTCGACCTCGAAACAAACACCGCGCAAATAAAAACACACTCTAATCAATAGTTAATTATTTGGACATGGAAACAGATTGCAATTCAATATGAATATAAATCTTAAAGAGATTTTACACTGCGAAATGTTCAGACTGATATTAAACAACTGTGACGTGTGAGAAAACAATGATGGAGAAACAAACATGGGTGAATTTCAGTGTGATTATAATTATTGGAATTTGGTAAACATGCCCAGAACCTGTGAATCTCAAGTACACTGTGCAATTATTATATTATAACAATTAAATAGGTCGCCAGTTCCCCTGACAACTGCTGGCAGCAGCACGTCTCTGCAGTGTGACTGTGTGCTGCTCAAGGTAATTCACCTTGTTTTAATGTAAATGAATCAATTAATTCGTAAGGTTCAGGTTGTTTTGTTTTTTTTTCTCTCTCAGTCTAATTTAACCACACAGCACAATCTAATTAGTGTGTCGTACACAAACAGCGGACACACACAAGCTCTGCAGCTGTAGCAAACAAACCTGAGATGGTGGACGTGGCAGCTCTCCACATGTGGAACCAGAAGTATGGACCCCAAGTCATCTTGGACTGAAACACAAACACATGACATCACTCCACTGTTGTTTCTTATACATTTAGAGCAGGGGTTTCCAAAATGGTTCCATGCTAAAGCACCACAAACAACATTAGCTTCTGGCTAAGACCGCCCTTTGCAAACCCATAGACGATGCTACAAAATACATAAAGAAACATCAACTTGGCACCTGTCAAGAGTTGCATTCAGGTACTTGAAAATTCAACAATCACAAAAGTTTAAACATTGTACAGTTCAGGACAAATGGTTATAAACAAATGTTTTTTGTTTTTTTTTAGCTTTTTGCCTCCTCTCACTATTATACCTCATCCCTCCTCACCACATCAGCTGGGGAGGACAGCAAATCCCTCCTCTCGGGCTCGTGGTCTTCTTCCTCGTCTTCATCAGTGCTGTACTCCTCCATTGTCTCGCCGCTGGAGAAGTGGATAATCCTGCGTGGAGCTTTCTCCCTCTGATGCTGTTGGTTGTCTCCTTTGTTGTCCAGTTCCCCCAGCTCCACACTCTCAAAGTCCTTACCTGGACTGAGAGACTGAGAAGACAGGTTGCAGTGTTACAATGGGAATATTTAATAATATATATATCCACAAATACAGCAAATAATACTATTTTGGATTTACTAATAATAATAAACTTTTGCTTGTGACTGCAGAACCACGGTCAAAAGGTTTTACTCTACAGGGAAATTAGTAGGAAAACAGACACATTTTTGTGCAACAACTGTTGCTTCCTATTTAACATTTCATGTTGCATTACAAGTGTAATAATATTTTGAGATACATTCAGCCATTTACAACCCTGACTTCTTAGTTTTTATATTCTTAGGATGCATTTGTATGTTAGTGACTGTGCTGACGGTGTGTGTACAAGCTAATACAGTCTCAGCAGCATATTAAAAATAAATAAGCTTATGACGTAAATGGATAGGAACAAAGGAATAAAACAAAGAAACCAATTTAATTATATTAGAGCGTGATTTTTGTAAAATTTCAACGTGACAATTAATGATAAATCATTTTATTCTGACAAAGAAGAACATTTCTACTAAATACCACCATCGTGAAGTAAACAGCTGCATATACACGTTTATATTATGCACACAGGTCTGGAAAATGAACAGTGGTAAAAAGACATAGAAGTGAACGTTAATACCAGAGCAGTGAATTCACCCACCGGCTGTCCTATGGAGACATTAACGCCAGTGAGATACAGTGAAACATCAGCCATTGTCACCAGCGTCTATCCCTGTGTCCGGGGATCATGGAAGCTCTGGATGCTGCGCCCACAACAAAAAAAGACCCTGCGCAGCCGCCGTAGCTGCTTCCCGGAAGTGACGTTTGGTGCCACTGTATAGTGCGTCATTCGCTTACTTGCATAAATCGCACATTAAACATTATGGGATTGGGTGTAAGGCGTTTTTTAATAGCTGACGGTGATAAAGCCTAATGTACCTGCAGTATCACCGTGCTTTATGTGATATTGTTCGTGAAAAAGTAATTAAGTTAATTTTACTCGTAGAAATAAAACGAAAATCCATTTTTATCCTCAGTCAATTGCATCCTGTTTAAACATATGGAAATGTGCTCCCTTGCAAACTTGCATTATTTATATTGCAGCATTACATCAGCCAAAATTAAAGTAATAAAAATATTAAAAATATTTGGAAGTCAACATAGTCTCAAGCTGTTGTTAGTGCTTTCTTGAGTATTTGTTGGCTATTTCTCCATATACAATCTTGAAAATTCTGTTTAAATTAATTTATGATATTTAAAAAACAATACAATAATGCAAAAAACACAACCCAGTGCTTCATTTATTAATCAAATAATTGATCGTTGAATGCTAATTGTGTGCAGGGTCACAGCAGAGCTACAACTAGATATATACTGTGTTATACAGCTTTGTACCTCAATAAACAAAGGCCCTTTTCACAGCAGCGGCCAAAAAGGGTGTATTAAAGAGATTTTATTACTGCGCCGTACTTAATTACAGGAGTCACTCTTGTGTTTAACAGATATTTCATGTCAAAATGACTGCTGTGAAATGGGCTCTAACACAATTAATCATATACCTGTGGTGCGTGCTGCTAAAGTTTATGGTCTGTCAACTGTGCACTGTAGCGTACAGTTAAGCCAGTGTGTCCACATCTGTCTCACATGAATTCACTTAGAGGATATGGGTACAATGCTGTAAAAAGTGGGCATAGGGTTAAATAGTGTTGCTCTTTATATTTGCATGGTACCATGCAATAAAAAAGCTAACAGCCTGTAGTTGCCTTTGTTTATTAGTTTTTGTGCCAATATTACCATTGTTTATGACTGTGCAAATTCTGTATTTCATCTTTGTTGTGTAGAATGCAGCCTAAGAAATCGCCCAATTTGGAAACAACCCATTCTGCTGGTCCATCTAGGATTAATTCAGACCGAGAAAACATGATGGTGTTTCTGTGCGAGGTTAATATACAACTACTTCAGTCTTATGGAGCACTTAAACGGAGCCTCGGCAGACACTGTAAAGGGGCAATGATTTCCTATTATACTAAAGTTAAAACACAAAAAAGTTTTACGTTTTGTTTTTTGTAAAAGTGAAGAAGAGTCAGAGTAAATTACCAAAGTACAGATTTTCTTTTATTGTCTGGGCATTTGCATAACAAACGGTGGTTGACTTTTTTAAATAATTGACATTTATAGTGTGGATTTATCTAGCACACCATGTTAAAGCTCCTCTTTACTACTTTAAATGGGAGAAGTGCAGCTTCCACCACAAGGCTTAAAAATGAAGCCAAAACAATTCTCAGCTGCTATTGCAACAGGGAAAACCAGCATTTATTCTAACTAAACGTTAGCCAAAGCCTAGTAGTAATCTAGCCAAAAATACAAATCTTAATTTGGCCAAAAAATCAGAGTGAAGTTATCCAAAAAAAAAAAGTGTTATGTCAGCCAAAAAAATTATGACAAGTTAGCCAAAAACAAGTGTTACATTAGCCAAAAAACAGTGTGAAGCTATTCAAAAACAAGTGTTAAGTACGCCCTAGCAAAGTCATAAAAACATAATTAACAAAGAATTACTGTACATTTTTAAAGGGTTTTGTAACTTCTGTATAATACACAATTTATATTCCAAACATTTATTGATATTTTTGGGGCTTTCAAATATAAAGGTATTAAAAAAGTAATTATTCAAACTTCCTGCAGTTTAACCCTCAGTCCGATGATCTAAAATCTAAAATCATTTATACACCACTAGATGTCAGTAGAGGTCCACCTTACCCTGAACGCTGACTGACCCTGAATGAGCAGCACATTTTTTGAGGGTGATTTACAGAAATATCCAGCAGGAACCTGTACATCTGCAGATTTCAATCACCTTGTTTAGATGCCTTCTCCCTCCCTCCCTCTCTCTCTCTCTCTCTCTCTCTCTCTCTGTCTGTCTCTCTCTCTCTCTCTCCGGAAAGCAGCGACATAAGTTTCAACAAGAAAAATTTACTGGAGGCCACAGAACCATTGCACTAACTCTCAGACCTATGATGTCATGAAAAAGGTAAGAGGCAGGAGTGTTCCCATAGAGTCTGTCAACCTCATTCTGTGGCTTCACACACATGTTTGCACGAGGTGCTTAAGAAAATCAACTATATTTCAAACTGTTCTCCAAGGCTGCAGCCAAACTATGCATCTGTATTTCCACAGAGTCCCTGCAGTCTGGAACATTCTCCACTCCCGTGCATATTAGCTTTGTGCTGAACTTCACCCTCTGCTCAAGTGGCCCACGGTCCAAATCAGAAATTGTTTTGTGGGTTCATATTTGCTCGGTCTTGTTTCCTATTAACAAGTGGCCGCTGCATTTAAACAGGCTATTTATAATCAGTCAAACGCTCGCTCACGTCAGCTCTTTATTGGACAAAACATTATTAATCTTGAGCTGTCACGAATTATAGATCTCTCTAAAGGGTAAAATCAAAATCACCGAGATGTGTCCGATGCCTCTGAGGAAGGGTTATTGTTGCCCTGGGATGCTGCAAGTCAGCAAAGTGTGAGGTGAGGGGCTGCGAGGCTCAGATTGCACACGCCAGTACGCACACGCATACAAGGAAAAGCAAGAGGCATGTAAACAGCAAATACTTAAAGGCTGAGTTTTAATTATGCAAAAGCAAAAAAGAAAAGTAATGCCCTAAGAGCATTTGGGTAAGATTATTAAAAGCCCTTCAGAATTACTTAACCAAGTCTATTATCTTAGTTTTACAGAAAGTGCATTATTTCTGATTGGATTTTCAGCCTAGCATTACCTTCTCCAGGATTAGAATTGGATGTGCGTGAAATCACTTGTGTCGGACCGACCGGGGAGCTGCTGTTTCATGCAGATCTAAAATCGACTCCCCCGGTCCTGACAGAGGGCCGAACAAAGACAGGGGTTTTGATTCGACTTGATTAAATAAGGCGTGAGAAGAAAAACAAGTTCTCCCAGGTATGTATATATATATAAATGTGTGCGCTGTCTGTGCCTCGGTGGAAAAAGTTACTTGTGCTTAAACAAAGAAAATACTGATTTGACTTGACAGGCCGTGAGAGCACATTTATGAAATCGGTTCCAATGTAACGACTTTTAAATGATGGAGGAGTATTAGGACGGCGGCTATTATGCTCAGACCTTGAGCAAAGTTTATTCAGGTGTCTCGTACAAGCTCTGCAAAACGTAAAAACACTCTCTCTGTGTGTGTGTGTGTGAGGGAGAGATAGAGAGCTCTGTTTCTCTGTGTGTATACATGTGTAGGTTTGTGTGGTGTGTGTGTGTCTACGCTTCACACAGAGCAGAACACTCTCTGCTTTTAATGACGGCATCCATATTAGTGTGCCTTCCTCTTCCAGCAGTGTTCCTTTTACGCAACGGGTGATATGAGCCGAGCTGTCGACGTGATTCATCCCCCTCGCCGGCCCATCGCTTCGAGATAGTTAAGGGTCCGTGCAGCCCCTCAACGGAAACCTCGGGGATGTTTTTAACGACTCGACAAAAGCAGGGCACAAACACAAAGAAGCACAACTAGAGTAGGTGCAATTGTCGCTACAATCACAGGCTAACTCCTCGGCTGTCGCCAAGGATGTACGGCCGCCACATGCTACGTCTTTCCGTCTTCGCTCTTTCTGCTCTGACCCACCCGATAATGACAGTCACATCAGGTGGAGATGTGAAATCAATCGGTCACTCTTCTCCATCGAAGCGCCTTTTAAAGAGCGACATGTTCCCAAATGTCGGACAACGCCGACGCATCAAATGCCTGGCGGTCATTGCGTTCCCTCTGTGCTTTAGCTCAAGGTTAGTCACACTGAAAGGGTGCAGTAGAAAACGATGATGAGTAATGATGCAATGGTATCCACCGACATAACGCAGGCATCATAAGCTTTGGCTCATTTATGAAGGAAGTGACCCCGAGCTCTCACATGAATAGAGGATCCATCTAAAAGAACCCTCACCCTGCCATTCAAAGCGCAATGATTCTTTAAAAAAATAATTAGTAGCGAAAATATAAGTGACACACAGAGACAGAAAAGATTGTTATTTCACAGTATTTCGTGAGTCAGTTAAGACACGATACACAGCAGGGCTGACAGTTTCAAATAAGCACACGACGGCCTAAACAGTACAAGATGTTCTCGGTGATTGAGGTTAAGGCTTTATGTCCCTGGGTACGTTCGATTATAGCAGGTCATGTAGTAGCACGCTGATAACCACCAGGGGTAACCAGGGGTTACAGTATTGGTAAAAAATACTTTGTCCACCGCAAATGACAGACAACTGGGACCCAATTATCTTTAACCACAGAAAGTTCAGTTTTCCACCATGTTAGCGCAGGAGAGTAAATAATAGAACAGAAAATCTAGCTTAAATTAAAGGTAAAATTCTGATCTGATAAAGGTCGATGGACAACATGGTGGGAGGAGATCTTCTCAGAGGTCAAAATGTCTCCCATATTTTAAAGGTCACAAACCTTCGCGACCCAAGTCGATAGACATTATTCATAAACTCCTGGGAAACAGGATGCGAGAGGACCCCAATTTTTTTTCCTGCGACCCACCTGAGGGTCGCGACCCAGTCTTTGGGAAACAATGCTCTAGAGCAGTTTTATTTAGTTGGCGAAGGTTGACCTCAATTTTATGTAGTTGGCGAAGGTTGAGCCTCCGTCTACAGTTGTGGGTTCCCAAACTTTGGTCTACGGCAGTGGGTTCCCAACTGCTCTTTGGTTTGCGATGTCATTTTGACATCACAATTTTTTGGCGACCTTAGAGACACTAGCAGCTCACTTTAGTAGCTCGTTTTTAATCATGATTAATTTTTTAT